TTTTGAGGTGCCATCAGATGATAGTCAAAATATATCGCTATTTCCATGGAAAATATTAATTCAACTTATTACAGATAAACTGAAAATCCCTCACCCATGGGCTAATCGCACATATTATTCAACGTATTCCAATCAGACATTTTCTTCCATAGAACCGCCCATTTAAATACCATCTACCAAGATGATGCAATGCCTCATGACTAAAATTTTAATTTCTTCTTTCGTGTTAGCTATCGTTATCTATCCAACGTATGCTAAAAATTTTTTTTTTTTTTTTCCTATTGCGTCCATATGATATCGTTAATCAATAAACCTCTATTTTGAGTTTTTCTCGGGTCTTTCCCGACGAATATTTAGTATATATACCTATATAATAAAATTCGAACGTCATCAGTAAGTCATTGTATCAAACAGATACAATATTGTAATCAAGACGTCTCCATGAGCAAAATAAAAATCATCCTTTCCTGATCCGGAATCACATTCTTTCTTTTTTTTCGATTCCCAGATTTTCATTACTTGATTGTTTTTGCGATTTTTTACGTTTCTTTTCGCTACGAAAATTTTCATACGATAACAATTTTATAACTTAGAAATAAATTTTATTCCATAATGGAAATTAATTGCTTTCTTTCAGCGAAAGTCACCGAAGGAATAAAAGAAACTTTTGTATGGAAAGTAAGGATCTACGTACATCAAATTTTCTTTAAATTAAGGGCGACAGAAGAATTATCGTTTTTGTTTTAAAGGGTAGCTTAAATATCAATGCAATATATAAATTCAATTTGAGTTCTTTAGTTTATTGCCTTTCGAATATGCACCTCCTTTCTACTTGTGATGAAAGTCCATTTAAGAGCCCTCCGACGGAGCTAGCTCAAAAAGCCGCCTAGAGCTACTTTGAAGCTAGTACAAATATATATATATATATATATGTGTGTGTGTGTGTGTGTGTGTGTGTGTGTGTGAGGTGTTTATGATATAGACGTTTGCACGTATTCTTAAGAAATTATGTTTCCTTTCTTTCTTTCATATATACTATATATATATATATATATATATATATATATATATATATATATATATATATATTTATATATAGAGAGAATCCATCGATAGATAGATAGATAGAGAGAGATATATGAGATTAAAGGGTAATATATATATAGATAGATAGATATCTACATTTACAATTCATTGAATACGACAGACAAACTATTTTGATATAGTTTTCTTCTACAATTTCTTATGTGATCGAAAATATTTTCCTTTGATGAATTATTTAAAAACTGTCCAATCGTTTTTTTTTTGCTCGAGCGCTTTCAACTGTACAGCTAGCTATCCATTTTCAATATTTGAAATATATCAACTCTTAACAATAGATTGTTGCATGTAAAGAATAATGTTTTCATTTTCAAATCACGTTCAAGATATTGTGTCCATGTTCATAGTTGATATTATTGAATTTGTTGTTTTTATTTGTTTTTTATTAATAAGGCTTCCATTATTTTTTTTTCTTTTTTTTATTGTCTAGATAATGCTAATATATCGGTTTTCCCTATAAGTATATATATATATAATATCCGGTATATCCATATAGTATTTAAATGACCTAATTGAGCTACGGTCAGAAAGGTGTAGTGTGAGTCTTCATGTCAAACATGTCGTAGTATGGCCTATATAATTATATACGAATTTTGGTTGATCAGTAATACAGTTATTTAAGAATATTTAAATTCGGAAATAATATTTGTTCTATTTAATTATGTTCTAAGAGTTGCATTATTATTTTTAACTATAGTATTAGAGGTTTTAAATATTTTCTAGTAAATAATTAATCTTATTTTTTGTTGGCTATTGTCAGCTTTGTTTCTTTTTTTTATAATATTCTTAATTCTTGTTTCATCTTGTTTGTCATTTTCGTTCATTTGATTTTTATAAAAAATATTAATATTGAGATTTATTTGAAATTAATACAATTATGGCAAAAGGCTGAAAAAGGAGGATGGGTAGAGGCTGGTCTTCACTAACTATCTTATAGCTAACCAATCGGAATCACGACCCATTCACTCGTTACGATTTCCTCATTCACCATAAAACCACATCCGTCGTCAATCAATCCTCCATACAACATAATTTACATCCTCTGAGGTTGGCGAGTTAAAAAAAAACCAAAACATCCCAATGCGATGATAAATATTATTTACAATTTATATATACAAATCGGATGAATAATCATGAAAGGAGGGACGAACCCCAAAACAAACTAAATATCAAAACAAAGCAAAAAGGACACATAATATGAGTAGGGCCTGTAACCCTTCAAAAATATTAATGCTATTGTTTATGTTTCCATTCTCGTCGTTGCCATTAGCTACATTAGACAGAAAAATTCCTAATCTTAAAATCCAACAATTGATTAGGAAATCCGTTATTAATAAGCGTTTGTTTAACGGTATTTAATTCTTTAAAGAAAAACGTCCAAGAACGGATTAATTCTCGTGAATCTCTATTTTTGGATCTGTTTTAAAAAACCTATTTTATATCTAAGAGGGCATTTACTAGAGAAATGGAAATGGCAAAATTTTTATTTACTAGTTGTTTTTTATAAACTGAAGTTGTTCTATTATTTATAAAGTCAACGAAAAAAAAAAAAAGAAACCGATTTTTAGAATGTTTGTTGTCATCTTAATTCAATATCCAGGATTGTCCATTTATCAGACTAATTTAATTTAAAAATATCAATTTTCATAATTTACTCGTTTCGTTATTGGTCATAAATTTGAAAATACATGTTTTATATACATATATGCCAAGAGATTAGCTCTCAGTGGTAAAAAATTATTTAACTTAAAATGATTGCGTTAAACAAATGTTTCGTGTGGCATGATGGAACTTTTCTAAGATGTTGAAAATACAAAAGGGCTAAAGCTAGATAGGAAGGATCGAATTCAGAGCTACCCAGTTTAAACTTGATCTAGCAAGAAATGTTGAAAATACAAAACGTCGAAGTACCCAAATATTTAATGTGGAATCGTCTCCCCGCACCCAACGAGCAAATAATCTTACAAATTCTAAATCCCAAAGATAATTGCTGTTTTGTTAAACATTGTTTGAAAAGGATGGAAAAACACAAACCCTCGATCATCAGACAATCCCGCAGGAGAAATAAAACTTCAGTTTACTATCGGTATCCATTCTTAAAGTAAGAACCATCGTGATTTCATTAAAGATAATTGATTGTGTATGCGTTAAACTTGGATTTCTATGGAAACAAAAAAAAAAAGGTTTCATTGCAACAGAATCATTAGTAACTTTGATCTATGCAAAGTCAATGGCATCACGTTAACTTATGGAAGTGGGACTTGATGTTGAAGTTTTCTAAAATGATTTGACAATAT